GAGCCCCTAAGGAGGCGGGGCTGCTCACGGCCCTGCTGACCGCTAGCTTTAAATGGGGCGGAGCCTTGTGGGCCGCGCCTAACCCCGCCCTCGGTCCTTCCGGGATCTCTAGCCCTGTGAACCAAGTCCCCGCCCATGGGCCACGCCTCTGCGGGGAAGGCTGCAGCCACCGCCCACCCCACTCCCCCACCCCCGGGGCTCCCGGCACCCAGCTGACATCTGGGGGCCCTTTCTCCACTCGCGGTTTCCTGCCTCCCTTCCGTTCCGACAGCGTAAACCGCTGCCCCACCCAGCTCACTCATCCCTGGCGCCCTGGGAATTACCACTCCCCTCCCCCAAAATATCCACGATCTTCGACCCCGGTGCCCACCCCAACAAACATCCTGGACTCTAGACTCTCCATCGCAGCCACAAAAATCAGAAGCTACGGGCGCTGTGATCATGCACAAGTCTTAATTTAATGGGTAAAAACATTAAATTATCACACACAACAATTTTTTCCATAAAGCTTAATAAATAGAATCTTTTTTTTAACGCTGTACAAGGGATTGGAAAACAAGCTTTCAACAAAATATGAATGAACTCATACTACCCTTAAATTGATTTGGAACACTCCCCCTCCCCCATGCCTGAAAGCAGTGTGTACAGTTGAGGTCTCTCTCTGGGTACAGCCAGCCAAGGTCGACAAGTTCCAGGAGCCTTGGAAGTGATGACCTCACTCTGGGGCTGGGGCTTTAAACGCTCTGCCCTTGGGACTCGTCTATAGCCCCAGCAGTCTGGGGCGTGGAGGAAACTGAACCGTTTAGGTGGCTGTTGCCTGCCGGAGCCCTCTTCTGCCCAACACACCAAAAGGGGTGAGAAAAACAAATGAGAAATGCACCTCAAACACACACACCCCAGAAATCAACACCAACAAGCCACAAACTGGTGCCCCTCGGCAGTACTCAGGAGGAGCAAGGGGAGAAAGTGTTTCTTTCCTCCTCTTCTGACACAGAACCCAGCTGGGTCCTGTGGCTGGAGTGGGTGGCCCCAGGTCACAGCGGTGCCACTGGGTGCCCCTGCAGTATGTCCATGAGATCCTGAGCACCTCTCCCCCGAGCCAGCTCCAGGGGTGTGAGTCCCCTGGCATCCCTGTGATGGAGATCTGACTCAGCAGCCAGGAAACTGACCACAGCTGTGTGGCCCTCTCGCACTGCCAGGTGGATGGGGAGTGCCCCGGTGCCATCAGGTACGTTGACATCAGCTCCATGCTCTACCAACACTTTCAGGGTGTCAAGAAATCCAGTGCGGGCTGCATCATGGGCCGGAGTGGTGCCGGAGGCATCCTGGACATTGGGGCTGGCACCTTGCTTCAGGAGCTCCAGCGCGATGGTGGGGCTGCCAAACATCATGACCTGTTTGAGGGCAGAGGGTCAGGGGGTTCTCAAAAGTGGAGGCCCAGGAAAAGGGGTGATTGGAGAGAGGGGTCATTCAAGAGTAGAGAATACGAGAGATGAGGTCCTCTAGAGAATGAGAAACCCCAGGGAACATAAACTCCCAGGCAGCTGTTGAGACACCAGAGAACAAGGTCTCCTGGGAATAGGGACCCTCAAAAAATTGGTTACCCCTAAGGACAATACACCTCCCTAGAGAATAACACCAAAGGAAATTGTCAAGAAATCTAAGACCCTCCCCCCAAGGAACCAGTTGATACCACTTTCCACATACGGGAAATCATCAGGAAATATGAAACCCCCACCAGGAAATAGACCTCAGAGAATGAAAACAGCCCCCTCAAGGGAAAGGAGATGCGTAGGGAATTTGAAACCCCTTATCCAAGGAAATTCCTCCTCCCATATAATGTAGATGCTCCCCAGAGTACCTGACCCCCTCAAGAAATGTGGTTCCCCTGTTGTAAATACTCCCAAGGCAATAAAGATGCCCATTCAATCTGTAACTATTCTCTTATTGGGACCTTCCATGATATAGCAATCTGAAAATCCCCCCGGAATGGAGATTCATCCTCAAGAAACTACATCTCTCAGAGAACCCCCAGAAAATGGGCCCTGGAAACATGAATCCTTCCAGGATTGGATCCGTCAGTGGAAGCTCCAAGAAACCACAGCCATCCCCATGAAACTGGGATCCAAAGAAGCTGAACCCTCACCTACGGAATAAGAGCTTCTCCAGGGAAACTGAATCCTCCGAAATCAGAGAACAAGGAATCCTCCAAAGGTGGAAAGCCCTCCCCTCCCCCAACTTAAACCCATCCAACCACCCACCTAAGAAAGGGGACATCAGGGAGGAACGTCAGCCCGGAGATGGAG